CGATCATTCGATTTCATCCTGGACACTACAGAAAATGGGCTAAAAGTGTTAAAAACCGGAATTTTCCTTTAAAGAGGAACCAGCAAAGGACCAGCCAAGAAAAAGGAGTAGGAGTAAACTCTTCTTCACACAAAATTTTGATTTTTGGCAACATTGTTTAGCTACTTTTGATTGAGGAGACTCTTCTAGTACAACAGTCTAATGGAGATGATGCTTATGGTCATCTGTATTGTTCATTTTATAAAGAATTATTCTTTTTAAAATCACCCACAGAGGTTCTAGATTTCCCAGAACAGAGCAGGTCTTCATTTTTTAGCTTGGTGAACTTCTTTAAGTCAATTGTTCTGAAGCTGCACGCAAAAAGATGTTGGCAGAAGAGATCACACGGTTTAAGTCATGAATTTAACATAATGCATCTAGACATAGAAAAGTGTACTAAAGGTTGACATAGAATGACATAGAGACTGAAGGTTTCTGAGTCTGTTTCTGGGTTTGATTTTTGGTCTGAATTTTTCTAAATACAACAGCTTCATTATTTTCCTCTACATTTGTTCTCATTGCTTAGATATTTTTCCTGACTAGGTGCTCCTCTGATGAATGTCTTCCTTGTTTGTGTGTTCAAAGATGGGAGCGTCGTTTGGACCAGATGGGCCGTCCCTACTATGTCGATCACATGACACGAACCACCACATGGCAGCGCCCCACAATGGAGACTGTCCGTAACTATGAACAGTGGCAGCACCAGCAAAACCATCTGCAGGGCGCCATGCAGCAGTTCAACCAGAGGTTTATATACGGGGTAAGACTTCCTCAGCAGCATTATGCTGAGGGGGACGTGTGTGTGAAGGTGTGTGAGAGATATTTGATGCAGCTGCTCGGTCAGGTTGAGTTTGCTGCTGCAAGGAATGGCTGGATCCCCTCGTACGTATGCCAAAAATAAAAAAAGTCACTATAATAATGTTTTATTTCTTGATCAAAACAGTTGTGGGTGTTTTACGTTGTTCTTTCCGCAGCTATAAAGACTTAGAGAGAACTTCTGTTTTTTTTTTTTTGTTGTTGTTTATTTTGATGCCAGCTGCCTTATCTAGTAGTTAAGAAGAGTATTTTAAGTAGTTTAATATTAGTTTTTGTCTAAATCCAACATCCTGTGAGGTAGGATTTGGCAGCTTAAATCAGCTGGAACTGGAGTTTACATTCTGATTCTGCTAGAATCTCTGCATTTTTTCATTTTCTAGTTTAATGCCTAGTCCACAGGAAGTTTGTGTACAACCATGTTTGTCAGCAGTGTTGAACAGTTTGGCATAACTTTAATGAAATGACCCATCGGCTCAGTGCAGCACAGGCAACAGGATTATGTTATGTAAAAGATGACGCACAACCAAAACTATTTAACACCTTGGGACTAGAGGTGGGAGTGCCCTGCCTTCGATGAGCTGCACTAGTGTAATGCTGAAGTTGGTATCTCCAGGAGAATTAGTTTTCCCTTTCATTGGGAGCAAATCTCCTGCAGGAAGAACAGATCATGTTTAAAAATCTTTATTCCTTTTATATTATGTTCTGATACTTGCAGCGGTTCCTTCCTTCTTCCTGATTGAAAGGAAATCACTTTGACCTACTCTGATCTGCCAGCATAATGTAGGATTTGAGGCATAATTTTATCCATTTTTTATTCTGTAACATGTTGGATCTGTTTCATATGATGAATCCCACTAACTGAACATTTTATAGTTGTCCCGTAAACAAAAGTAAAATTTCATTACTTTCACATCCTGTTAATTGGAATTTAGGCACTTTGATCAATGCAGAAAAAGTATTTTTTGTCTCTGCAGCATCAGACAATGGATATGTATGAATGTGTTTCAATAAGGTTCATTAATGCAGCTCCATAAACACAATTCTGTGAAAAATAAATTTCTAATATTCATATCAGATATCGTAGTTAATGGAGTATCTATATCTAAAGAGTCTGAATTAAGGATAATAGCAACAGAAACTGAAATGAAAATTGAAAATGTCCTTCCTATTCAAACAGTGTTAACCCTTCTATGAGGTCATAGAGTCTGTGGTACATAAAGATATGAATCTGGAGAGATTTTGATAGAAAAATGCTTTGTAAAAATAGTGAGCATCTGTCGGCCGGCAGTTTTAAGGCAGCTTTTTGTTAAATTAAGATTTGATCAGAAAATCCCTGGAAAACCTTAATATCCCTTCCTCAAACTGCTTCCATTTCTTAATTTAAATAAACAAATAACATAATCAATAGACTATTGCAGGTCTTTTATGTTGTTTCGTGTTTTTATGAGTTGAATTTTGGGGAACGTTTTAACCAGTTCCTAACATTGCCGACTCAAACTAAAGCCTAAAACAGGTGCATTTCCTTACATATTAAAATTAAGGTTTTGTTTTCTTTATAGGCCCAAGATCAGGCATCAGCTGCTCAGAATAAGGAGTTCGATCCTCTTGGCCCGCTGCCTCATGGATGGGGTAAGATCTTTCATTTTTCTTTCTGTACACAGGCCTCCTGTGTGTTAACCATATGAACAACAATTGTGTTTATAAATACATTAATAGTTGGAACAATTGGCACATTAGAATAAAAATGTAATGTGAACATGCCAATTAGATGATATTATCCCGAGCCATAATCCAGTGACCTTGCATCCAAATACTTCCAAACTGGTCTGACTGAGGATGTCTGTGCAGGACGGATCAGCACGGCTGGGCAGCAAAAGCAAAAGCTCTCTTTGTAACCCAGGAACAGCAGGAGATCTGGACCCAACCTGATTTAAAACATTTATAAATTATCGCATGTTGTCCGACGACTGTGTCTAACTTTACTTGTGCTGCTTCTCCTGTTAATATGTTAAAGCCGTCCGGCACCAGGCTACACGTGATACAGATTATCCAATGAGCTGCTGTCAGTCTGGGTTGCTGCTGCTGCTACTTTTAGACACAGCAGCCAAACCTGTGGCAAGCCGGGCAATGGGAAAGAAGGAGAAGAGGATGAGAAAAAGAGGGCAGAGAAAGTGTGGACTGCTGGAAGAACTGCAGTGAACTGGTGAAAGAAAAGTGAAATGGTGCTCAAAGATGACCCTGCACATTTAGAGGATGTTTGGCTCAACCTGCTGCTGTGAAGCAGGATTCTCCACCATGAACAGAATAAAAAATAAATATCCATCCAGGCTTAAAATGAGCCTTGATATGTGCTTTAGAATGGCTTTGTCTCCATTCAAACTTAGGTTTAAGCCTTGCAGGGCAGTGTACAGCCCACTGCTCTCATTAAGCCATAGAAAAGAAAGAAAAAACAAACAAACGGTCAGTTCAGGTATTTTATCAAATATGTGAATCAGGAAATTGTCTATATACAAAACTAAACGATTGTTTGGTATATAAACAAATAAAAAAACACTTTTGATTTTAAAATGGAAAAATTTTCTATTTTTTTTTGTATTTAAAAAGTTAATGTATATCATGGATGCATAATCACCTCATTTTATTTCAGTTTTAAATTTTGTTTAAAGTAACAGATTATAATTATAAATGTCTCCGGACCTTCACCCGTTGATGATTTTCTTTATTTGAACCCCGCTGATTTTTTTGGTTACCCCTGCTTACGATCCTTTTAGAACCAGATCCAATCAATGTGCTCAGTCAGACCATTCAGAACCTCTGGACTTTTTTTTTTTAAATGATCACATTTTAATTCGATAAAATGTGATCAATGTGTTAACCTTTCATAACAGGCTGTAACGTGTGATTCAGTATTCAGCCCAGGAGTCTCATTTATAAAACACAGGGTTAAAAAATATAGAGTATGCATCCCCCCAAAAAAAAACATATGGTTAGAATAAAGTCCTGTAACATTGTACTCTAGACCAGCAAGCTTAAGAGGGAATGCAGAACTAAAACCCTGGAATGAACCAGGAAATTAAGAGTTTGTTTTTTTATCATCATTTATGCCAAAGGTAATTGTCTGTGCTTCAGGGAAGTGAATTTTCAGAGCTTAGAGAGACTCAGTCGTACTGCAAGAAAGAGGTATAAATGTTTAGCTTTTAACAATCCTAAACAGTTCCTCAGACAGTGTTGGATGTTTTCATTATGCTGTAGCAGATGGTGGACACATCTGTCTGAACTTTATTGATTTATATTTTATTAGTTAAATGTTTTTTTAATTCATACAAATGAAAGAAATCTGTGTTTGAATTGAGTTTAGATAATTACAGTTTTAGTTGGCTCCTTCTGACCAACCTAGATAACCAGCTGGTCTGCTTCTCTCTTCAGAAAAGAGGACTGACTCAAACAATAGAGTTTACTTTGTACATCACCCAACACGCTCAACACAGTGGGAGGACCCACGGACACAGGGGTGAGTGGGGGAATTCAGCCCTAACAACAAAACCCTGTTGTTTCATGACTAAAATTGTCATTTTTTTTTTGTCATTTATTATTTTTTTGCTTTCTTTCCGATTCTTCTTCTCGTTTCCAGATTACTGAATGAGAAGCCGCTCCCAGAAGGCTGGGAGATGAGGTTCACTGTGGACGGTATTCCTTATTTTGTAGACCACAACAGGAGAACCACCACCTACATCGACCCTCGCTCAGGAAAATCCTCACTGTAGGTTTTTGTTTCTTCACCTCTGAAAAACATAAACTTTAAACAAACAGTACAAAAACAGGCAAACTAAGGGAAACAACCAAAAAAAACATAGGAAAGTTCTTTATTTTTACCTGCCTTAGAGATTAAAACTGATTTGAGTTCATCTGGATACTATGAGTGAAATAACTCCCAGAAAAGAAATCTGCATATTGGATGAATTTATGAAGTCTCTGTTACACCTTGACGATTTAGACAACGTATGCCTGACAACGTAGAAATCAGGCAAAAACGCTGGCATACGTTGGGTACATTTTGTATAAGTTATGAGCATGCTGGAGTATGCTGAAGTACGCTGGCGCACGTCAACATACGATAAGTACTTAGAGTACGTACATATGGCAGCGTATGCTCATACGTGGGCCATAAGTTACAGGTAAGTTATCTGATCGTTGACATACATTAAGCATAAGTTACTCACAAGTCATGGTATCTAGCTTAACTTAACCTATGAGTAACGTATGCATAACTTATGCATAACTTATCTCCAACGCATATCAACGTATCTGACGTGTTCAAGATGACTGCTGAATGTGTTTTTTAACTTAGAGCTACTGTTTAATGATGTATTGGCAGCGTTTTGGTATAAAAGGGGGTTCACAGGAGGAAACAGTCACTTCTCTTCCAGACTTTATCCCTATCATCGTCTTTCCTTCTTTCCTTCCTTTTTATTTATTTTTTTTGGCGGACGGTAAAGAGCAGCTATGTTAATACCGTGATCAAACACATCTTTTTATGCAGGTAAGGTGCCTCCAGGTTCATCGCTGCTCCTCCCAGGACGCTGACTTTTGACAATTCATGGGCATTATGCTGCCGTGCATTATGCATAAGTTAGGCCGTCGTTGGACATAAGTTCTGGACTTGTTATGAATACTCTATGTATACGCCCAAAATTGGAAAAAAAAATATGTAGAAAGTTCAGCGAATGCCAGAGCTTTCGGAGATTCTAGTACATCAGGCATACGCTGGCTAAATCGTCAAAGTGTGACTAGGCCCTAAATAATCATTGCCTCATAAATAAACCATTATTATAGTTGGTTTATATGATACCTAAATCAGTTCATTTCTTTTTTTAAACTTCAGAAATGTTGATTTATATTAATCAATAAGTCTCGTCGATTTATATTTAGGAACATTTCAGATTGGATCCAGTGGTCCATGGATAGACTGAACAGGGAACATTAGCTGCTGCTTTAAGTCTCATTGCATTGGTCTCCCATGCAGGGATGTAGACTATAAAAGTTCATCACAATAATTTGTGCCATTTATTGTGCTGAGGGGGATGATAGAAGCGATAATAAATCATTTGGGAGCAATTGCCTGTTTTACACAACAAAAGTTTGTGTGGCTGAGGCTGAACGTCTCTGAACCTAAACACAAACAAGAAGAAACGTTTTACACATAGTTTACTTTTTAGGACAGCTACAGTCAGTAGAGCAGCTTCTAAACACAAAGTACATAATAGTAGGCATTTAATCCTGACATGTTTTAAAGAACCATGAACTGCAGAACTGCTGTGTTCTCTCCCCATGTTTGTTTTCATTTTACCTTTTGCTCTTTACATAACACTATGAAGCAGGCATCATCTTTCCTTTTGCCTGTTTAATGCAGCCAAACAGGTTTGGTTAAGAAGCAGAATGATGAGCTGACAAGTACTTTGATAAGCCTGACCCAGAAACCTCTGCTAGAGGATCCAGATCTACTATTGGTCTGTTGTAGAGAGTTTTAGTTTTTCTGCCATCATCTGTTGGTTTAGCAGCATCAGAACAGTTGATGTGCGAAACCCAACAAGCTGCTAAAAGTCTGGTTCTGTTCTGGGGACTCCTCCAGAACCTCTGAAGAGGATTTCACAAAGAAGGATTTTTTTATTAAAATCGTTAACCCTGAGCATCCTCTTCATCAGTCACAGCTGAAGAAACCACCAAATGAGTAACAAGAGTAATTAGTTTTCCCTTGGTGATCCATAAAGCAATGTGAACAACAGGAAGTTTAAAGCTACTCTGAGTCACATTCATGGGACTATTTTGCCGTTTTACTTCAAAGCCACTTATTTGTGTTATCATTGTTCTCTGTTTATATCTTCCACAGTGAAAATGGACCACAGATCCAATATGTCCGAGACTTCAAGGCTAAAGTTCAGTACTTTAAATTTTGGTGCCAGGTAAGAGTCGTTCTGATGCGTTTACTGTAAAGATACAATCAGGAGAAATAAATGCACAGATTTGCCAAAATTATTTTCATAATTTTGGCAAATTTTTATTTAATTTCTGTTAAATAAAAGTTAAACTGAACTATTCATTTTTGGACCAAAGAAGAAATTATAAAAAGGATCAGGCCCAGAATCTGGGAGCTGTGACTCTTTCAGACTTTAACCCACATAATAATTACAAAGTTGGCCTTCTTTCCCCTGAAGAACATTTCTAGGATGAAACGATTAATGTCTCAGGAGAATCTTGAAAAACTAAATTATGAGTTTATCTTTATTTGAATTCATCACAGTGTCTTCTCAGGTCTGCTTAGAAAGCAGATCAGCTTCAGCTGATCCAGAATGCTGTGAAAGTAGAGCACATCACCCTAGTTCTGAAGTCCTTCACTTGATCCCCGTCTCTCAGAGAGAAAGTCTATAAATAATTGAATGGCTTAGATCCTAAATGCATCATAGACTAGTGGTCCATATATCAACCACCCAGACCTCTCAGATCCTCTGGTTCAGGTTCTCTCTGCCAACCCAGAACCAGACATGGAGAAGCAGCTTCTAGTTCTTATCTCTCATTTTATCATTTAAAATTTAAAAAACGTGTGTTTTTGTTTTTAAAGCAATTGGCGTTACCTCAGCACGTCAAGATCACAGTAACAAGGAAGAACCTGTTTGATGACTCTTTCCAGCAGGTATGGAAATATCCTCAGTTTGAATGTGTTTATAGCTTGAGGGTTAAAAGTGGTATACCCTATTAAAGCTGCATTAATAACCTTAAATCACATAATTAATGTTTTTCAAATAACTAATTCCTGAGTCTGTTTTTCTCTGTTTTAGATCATGAGCATCAATCCTCAGGATCTGAGGAGAAGGCTGTGGATCATCTTTCCAGGAGAAGAAGGTCTTGATTATGGAGGAGTTTCCAGGTAAACTTTATTTATGGCTAGCGTTGCACCTATACAAATACCAGTATCAGGCGGGGCCCCGATCCAGCACTAAAATGGTGGTATCGGTATCAGCGAGTACCGACAAATAGGGCACCGATACCATTTTGAGAGACAAAATTCAACTATTGTTACCCATTCCAGGTAGGCAATAAAAAGTTCTACTGGATTCACTTTGTATTCGTCTTTTTCCTGCTTCACAAAGGTAGGCAACAGCTTGGCAAAGCTATGATGGCAATTATTTTACATCCAAGTAGTATGCAATTCCTCATATATACACACACACATCAATT